AGCTGTTTCCCGTTAATATTTATCGAGAATTAATTTTATCGGAACTTTATCGAGAAAACTTTATTAATTTTGATTGAAACCGACATATGCCTGTATATCAAATCGATCGAAGAAGAAGAAAGAAAAAAGCGTGAAATAGATATTTCTCCACGTCCCAGGGCAAATACATACAGGCAATCATCGATTACTTGTCGGTAATCTCGTCGTGCATGTGTTCGCTAATATTTGACGTCTTTGTAGCGATCATGGGCCGTGTACACGCCCCTTCTAACCAGGGATTTAACCCTCTCGGGCATGACACGAACTGCAAAGGGTGTCCGCGCGAGAAAGGATAGTTCGCAGCTGGAAAACATCGTCATTCATGCCTCGTTGAACGCAAATGTGGAGGTGACACCAGTCGCACGCGCGCGCGCAATGTCGTTTTTCAACCCGTTTCATTTTTACTTTTCGACTTCTTTTCATCGTCAACATTTTCGCTCGTGTTTCAGGCAATTAACGGGATCTCTAATTAATCAACACAAAACACGACCTGTATATGTGTATACAAGCTCCAGGGAGGGGGAAAAAAAAAAGAAAAGACTAATCTAGCGACGTGTGATGTTTTCCTTTGCGTTTTTTCCTCGCGTGATTCTTTTTTTCCGTTCGCCCCCCCTCTTTCTCGTTGTCATCGTTCGTTTTTCAACGGTCTACTTTGCCGTCGAAAGCTTGTCACGAAAGTGTCAAGCGAGTTAATTGGATAGCCTCTCCGAAAGCTCAAGTCGGATAAAACGAGGGCTATCGTTAATTCCTGTTTTGTCGTGTTCCAGGTAATTTTTGTTATTTACGCCACGTAATGTGCGTAATGTAGCATTTGGCCACTAAATTAGTGCCGTAGAAAATGCAATTTAAACGAATGTCTGTAACGCAATCTTAATATTATACTGGTAGATGTAACATATTAGGTGACTGAAAACTCTGCACAGTGATTTTTAAGTGAAATTTTTAAATTAAGAAAATTTTAAAAAAAGATTTACGAAACATCAGGGTTTATTGAAGAAGAATATGAATGTGAGAATACAGGAAACTAACAGTAGAAAAATGTTCATCGATCGTAACGTAACAAACATATCATGCTTTTAATGGAATTACACGAGGTGTAATTACTTAGACACGATAATGTACGTCTGATAATGTTCTTTCCTTTCTTCGAGTTTCTAGGATTACTTTTGCTAATAATTTCCGATAACAATTACTTCAAATTTTCGATAGTTTTGTTTAGTTTAGTTAAGCTTAACGAAAGTCAAGCCTACAATGAAATGAAATTACAATCATTAATTTTCAATAATTAACAACTGTGTGAAAATTGGTAAGTTCTTGTAAGGCAAAGACTGTCGTGGGTTTCTTCGTAACTTGACCTAATTGATAGAAGAGAATTCACTTCATCTCTTACAAACAAATTTGCCTTAGAATTTGTTGAACAACTTAATATAAGCAGAATCCAATATTGGCTGGTGTAGAGAAGGACGTGCTCGAGCGAAAGCGCGAATAAACAGAGAGGAGGATATTTCAGAAGGATACAAAGGATCAGTGAAAGGACACAAAAGCTGTACGTTTCTGCGGTAGGGTATTTAATCTACGTCATCTGAATGAAAATTCTAAAGTTTATCTCGATTTTGTGGATTTTTATAGAATTATTGCACATATATAGAAGAAAATATAAAAATCTTCTACTTTTCTAATTATATTTATCTTTATAAAAATATGAATTTCGCAGTCTGAATTATCCGTCATGAACATTGTTAGTGAAATGTTACAAGTTACAAGCTACGAATTATTAAACTTCGAGCGACGCGATGGGTGGTGTCCGATTTCCTAGAATCTTGTGACTATAGAGTAACATAATCGACTAGGATCCGTCATTAACCGACACACAAGCTATTTCAAATGGATCGATCGAAGGAGAGACTCAGCTCGATAAGCTGTACGCTTCGGTGGCGTGATCCTTAATCTACGCCACCGGAGTCAGGGAAATTCGAGTGAAACGTTGGTAATGAAACTAATAGACGAATACCAGGCAGAATGCCGGCCCTTCTACGTGACCACCTTTCTGACGGGTACGGTGAAACGTGGCGTAAAGTCGATCAACGTAGCGTCAAAGCGCGAACACGGCTGGCTTTATCGGCCGATCGACGCCGCGACTAATTCTACCTACGACTTTAGCCTTCGGGCCTTGCGTTTTGATTGGCCGCGCCCAGAAAGGACCTGTTGATGTCGATATGCCTGTTAACAGCGTCCACCCTATTCCTGCCACTGTCACCCGTGGAAATCTTCCATTTGCTCGGTGATTTACCAGCTTGAACGCGTTCCGTCCACGCGAAAGGTTCCTCGGTGGTTTCGTTTGTGTACTTGACAGTCTCCTGACAGATTAAACACCATGTTTCTCTGATTCCGGCCCTCTGTCGTGCGTACGTATTCCACATTTCTCGTGATTGACGCGATGGATTTTTGTTGGCACTTGCGGGAAAAGTGGAGGGAGCTTTCGCTGGGGAAATCGTCTTTCGACAAACCCTTTGCCAATTATAATACTCAACATTTAAAGGAAAATCGTTGAAATGTCAAGAACGTCGCTCAGCGAGGTTAAAAATACATCGATCTCGTTTCAGAAAGTTGATCACTTCGACTTTTTAATGAAAAAAATTTTTCGAAATTTCATGTAGTCAACTGTAACTGCCATTTAACTTTCGTTTGAGATACTTTTCCATTCAGACTATCTAAAAAATCGCATGAACTGCTTCGTGTATCTACCTGTCATTGGAATTCAAATATTCATCGAACGAACTTTTTTAATAGTTGCTTATTTAATAGCCTAGTTAATGAGTAGAATAATACATTGAATATTCATTGAATTAATTTTTATTAGTTACCTTACAGTATAATAACAACAATTTTCTTATTTAAAGAGATACGAAAAGAGATATAAAATTCATACACCGAGAGAATCGTATTTTCATCTAGAATCCGCGTTATACTTCACTAAAGTTTGAATATTCATTGACTTTTCAGTAGTCCCTTGCTTCAGAATGTGTACAATGATGACGACAATAAATTCATAATTCAAGAGAGGTGAAATTAGAATGCTCCCGATATTTACGTACATCGTATATCTCTACGCTGTTCTTTCCAATATTCGTCGGACGAACTTTCTATCAACTCTTTCTATCAGTCTAAAAGTCTAACAATAACTTTGCAGTCTCACAGAAGAATCATAGAATTGGCTAAAGCCAATTCACTCGTTCATCTTACTTTGAAAGTCAAGTTTTCAATTAATGGAGCCTCTCTCTTTTTATCTTGGCAGGGTTTACATTTCCTTCGTGCTCGGCCACGTAATTAAAAAGTTTCTAGACAAGTAACGCGGAAATTGACCTCCGATTACGAAATTAACCCCCTTCACTGTGTGACGAGACTGGAATCGAGTGTCCTTCGCAACCGGAATACGAATTGAACTTTGCAATCCCATGTGTATCGGAAGGTGTCAAAGGTGCCATTTAATCTCGTCTGGAGTTTCTCAAAGAATTGCTACGAAACATCGATATTCGCCCGATAATTTGCGGTGAATTGTTCAATGCCAAGTTGTCGTGTTAATTCGACGAAACAAGAATGTCTAATTAAATCAAAGTAATTTGTGCAGTTTTTTGTTAGACAAGAGATGAAAGACACTGATAAAAAGTTCGTTGGATGAATACTGAAGTAAAAATTCGACTTTATCCAAGATATTTGTTATCTTCTTGTACTATCTGTCTGGATCAGGAAATAATTGTTATTACTGTCGATTTTCATGCAAATTCATGTTTTGATAAAAGAAAGTTGGTTTAATGGAAAATTGTATTTATGTATTAAACATTATAAAGAACGTTTTTTGAACATTCTACAGATTTTTTCCATACACTTTTGCTGGGCGCGAAATATCACATTTTAAAGTTCCCTATAAATGTATTGAAGATCAACAGTTCAAGTGTGCATAAATTTTGAAGCAAAAATACAAACTTCTTTCACGAGATTGCTTTTATTACCATGTAGTTGTCGATTAGACAAAAGGCTCGTATAAAAAAACTCGTCTGTTGAATATCAAAGCGAACTACATATAAATTGAAAAGAAAAACTGAGAATTTCACAATTTCCATATTTCTATCATCCCCATCGGATCGCAAAGTTAGCTTCACTTCTGGATAATTAGGCCAGAGAGTAATAAAAAGTCGATTCGATGAATATTCAAGCGAAGTACGTGCACATTCCACCTAAATGTTGAAAACATTATAATTTATATCTGCGAACGGTATAATTCTCTTATTTGCACTCCTCTTTGGATTTCAAAGTTATCTTCATTTACTAGATTGTTACAGACGAAAGACTGACGGAGAGAGTTCTTTTGATGAATATTCCCGCATTTCTAGGTCGTAGAAAGATCTTCTATGTTCGAAACGGGAAAAGAAGAATCGTGGACATTTGTTGGATCTAAATTCAAGTTTGTTAATTAAAATTAGATTATTTCTAAGAGAAATGCCAATCCTAAAATGCACTATTGATTTAGCAGTCACGGGAAAAGTAAAGATACTTTCTTCTAGAAAAATTCAAACGTATCTAAAAACAATGAAAAAAATTTTTCACGGACCAAATTCACTCGTTTCAAAGAATAAAGTCTCCTTTTTAAAACTTACTGTGCGATTTTTTTTTTTGACTATCTTATTAAACGACTTTGAACAACAGGATTAAACGACGAAATGTTAGAATTTTTTTTTGAATTCTCGTCGTTCAGACGTCGTTGATCGTTTTACGAGACATGATTTTGATTTATAAAGTTATAACAGTTGAAACTGTCGGCAATTTTTCATCGTTGTTGGTTCCATTCCAAGTGGAAGTTAAGAATAAATTATTTCGTGTTGGCAGTAGTATTGGTCGTCGTTAGCTCAGCCCAATTCTACTAGAATATACCATTCCCCTGTCGCATAATAGTTTTCGTCACGGTATCTCTCGCTCTCATTCTTCCCGCTATATTTGTCTCCTGTCGGACATAAAGAAGCGAGAAATGAAACGCGGAGGGTTCGAGAAAGAAACAAAAAAAAAGAAAAAACTGAACAAAGGAAAGGACTGCGCCGGGAAACTAAATATAGGCCGCAAACAACGTTTGAACTATCTTCCGTCCGAGTGTATTCCAACTTCAGCTCTGAATCTCATTTTCTCTATTAATCGCGCCATTTTAGCAGCACCTCTAAAACAATTTGTCGAAATACTCGTTATTTCCCTTGTTTCAAGGTAAACTTATTTCACGAACGCTTTCACGGTGAAGAAACGATCGTTTTCTTGCTGTTCCTCCGGATCGTTCCTCTATTAATCGCGTTATTTTAGCTATAAGTTATAAAGCAATTTGTCTGACTTGATACTTGTTTCATTTTACGAGACATATTTCATGCGTACAGCACGGATTTCTGTTCATAAAAAGGTTTAAACTTGTTTGTAGAAGGTTTAAAAGCGCGCGTGAAAGTCGAATATTTATTATTATCGTAATTAATAGATGAAATTGACAGATTTCTGCTTAGATCATTTCTCTGATTACGCTGAAATATGAAGAATCATAAAATATCATTCTATTAAGTCCACTAAATAATGAAGAATCTATAAAATCCAAAAAGAAAAAAAAAATCACAAATGTTCTCACAAAGGAAAAGTATTCGTTTTAACTCTTTGAGGCACGAATTTTTATAGTGAAAAAAAAGTTTCATGTTGCACAGAAATTTTTTTCAGTTCTCAAAGATACAGAGAAAATGATAGAAAAGATTAGTAACATCTGTTATTGACCAATTATAAATTTAACAAACTTCTGTTAATTTTGTCCAATTATTTTAATATCTCAAACTGGAGTATCAAAGAATAAAACAATTTTCAACTTATTATATTCCAAAGAGAGATCCTCAGTCACGAAATTTTGATCGCATCACGAGCTAATTTCTCTGAATCTCAATACTTTTCTATATATTTTCTCTTATCTCGCGGTAGGTAAACTTATTTCACGAATATTTTCACATCTATTCCCTCCTATTGTTCCTCCAGAACTGTAAACTGTTATCGTTTGTGTTATTCTGCTTTTCTCCACCGTGAAATTTATATTTCGAATATTATTCCCCAGACGTTTTCCAGCTGGAAAGATGAAAAGAAGAGAAACGTTCGCTGCGTGTATGTCAAAGCTGCGCGCGAAAAGAAAGGGTCGAGAAAATTCTCGTGCAAATAGAATCCCCGGCCAAGGCGTGTTTAATCGTTTTAACTCGATTGCACGAAACCATTCTCTACGCTTCTCAAAACCAGACCAGACGGTCTCTCTTCTCCCGCTGTGGATACATAATTTTCTCGTAGATTCACGACAAGCTGCTCTGGACCACCGTACAGATGGGATCAAGTCCAATATTATAAGTTAACAATCCGATTCGACTTCGATATTTAAGTTTCGTTTCGACTTGATTTCGAATACTAATTGCAAGTGAAATATTTCAACTTCGTACAGCTTCAGTGTATTCATTTCGAATGAAAATTTCCAAAATACTCGGTATGAGTATTAATGTACTAATACATTACTAATATATCAATATGAGTGTACCAAGACTTATATTCATAAATGTATCGTAATTAATATTAACGTATAATATATATTTATATTAATATCGGTGAGTTTTATTAATATTCAAACACCATGGTGTTCGACAGATTATTGTTTAACATATAGTATGATCGTTTGAAATATGTGTACCGTGATTACTTCTGTGAGTATCAGAAATATGAAAAAAATGTGTCAGATGCGTGTTTTTTAATGGAGCATAATTTTTATTAGATATTCCTGCAGCTAATATTCAAAATACTAATTCATGTACTTTTTTATAAACTGTTATTGAGTTACAATTCCCTTAAATTTGAAGTTATAATTTGACATATATTAATAAATACATATTGATATATAATATATATTGATGTAACATAATAATATATGATGTAATGTGTTACACGCGTGCAACAAGGATCTCTATTTGGAGGAAGTAGTTATAAATTCTTCGAGTCTACTCGCGAGTAACTCGAGCCCATCTCTAGTCATCAGCGTTCCGTTTCTCGGGGATGGTCCGCATTATTTTCGTACACGGACGAGCAGAGTACTTTTCTCACAATGATAGGTTTCTCACACGGCCACGCGAGGACGTCGACAACGACCTGCTGGAAACTCTGTTATCTGAAAGTGCCGCTGCACCGGCGCACGCTGACAATAAAATCGCCGTGCGCATTTCCTGCTGTCCTATCTCCAGCGAAAAATGAAGAGGAAGGCACCTTCCGAAAATGCCTTGATGCAAATTACCTTGATTACCGATTGAATTCACACGTAGCTGACACACTCTCCTCTAACGTTCGTTTTGTCATCGATCGGCGACAATTTTCCGAGTGAAAGTCAAGAGTTTTTTCTGAAGACCGGTAGGCCATTTTCTGAAGAAGGGTGTAAATCCCCGGTCTATTGTTGCGGAAGTATGTAATTGAACATTCAGGAATTTAAAATTGCTAAAAGAAAAATGTTAAAATAAATTCTGATAGTTTTTCTATTGCAGACGTCGTAGATTGAAACTAACTAAAGGGATCTTCAATTTGAAAATTTAGAAAACTACGAAGTTTTACAGATATGTATACGTGGAGCAATTCTCGTTCAATGCCTAAATTCATAAATTATAAAAAGATTATTTTACTTTTAATTGGAATTTTATAGCAGTAGACTGATACATATATGTAATTAGAAGAAAGGTGCAAACGATTGATAAATCGTTTACCGTGCTATAATCCCAATTAAAAGAAGCAACTATTTACACGGAATTTCTGACTGATTATATCACGTGAAGAATACTGTTTCAAAGACAAGAGAAACTAGTGTCGACAGAAGCGTATTGCTCTCGCGACGTTAATGATACAACTCCAATAAGAGAAACCATAACTTCGGGATAGTGCCATAATTTTTACGATTCTCAATTTTCTCAACCTATGAGCGTTTTTTTCTTTTTTTTTTTTTTTCTTTTCTTTTCTTCGAGTATCATGATACGCCGTTTTGCAATTGAAACAACGCTAGTATTCTCTGTGCAATTGAAACTCGCCAAGATTCGCAATAAAAAGACGAGCTAAAATCCTTTTTGCGGAACTTCTCCCTTGCGGTTCGTTTCGGCGTTAAAGCTCCGACAAAATTCGTTCAAACGAAACCCTCGGAGGTATTTGCCTCGGAATACAGGGTATTCGAACGTGCAACGTTGTTTGCTTTATCCAGTGTTGTTCCGCGGCTTTTCTTCTTACGTTTCAATAACTTCAGCAAATTTGCCTGAACTGAATATCTGCCCAAGTTGCTAACTGAGGGATCGTGTGACTGTTTCTCTGAATTCAGTTGAGACCCGACGTGTCCCACTGGAAAATATAATTCTCAGCAAGTTCTTCTGCAGTTCTCCGGCAGATTTTGCTTCCAAATAATTGCAGCTTTGCTACTTCGCTACTTCTTAACATATTGACGCTAGAACCGAAGCATAAAGTTTTTATTAAAGTTAACAAATAGAATGACTTTATGATACAATACATATTTACTTTTATTTAGAATAACATTTCAGAAGAAGTTCTCTAAAGCTTCTAATAAAAATTATAAATTAATCATTTTGATCACTTTGATTGCTCTGGTATTGTTAAGGAGGAAGTAATTCATTATTAGTATTATAAACATTTTGTTCATTGTTGGAGTTCTCGAAATTTTACAAAATTATGAAAAGGAATAGCGATGAAAAAATGTTAAGTAAATTTTTGGTATTTCTGGAATAATAATTTTCTAATAATAATAATTTCTACATTTTATAACTTTCTCTATCTTTTAAATTTATTATCTTTCGATTTATTCGTGTTCTTTTGAATGAATGTAGTCTCATCTTCTTGAAATTATTTCGTACAAAAGAATTGCAAATCACAGTCATTCTATTCGTCAATTGAATGTTTACAAAAGATATTATTTTCGACAGAATGTTTTCCTCTAAATGAAAATATTTGGTCGTTTACCAAAATATTGAAACGTCTCGTATTCGAGGATTGAAATTGCCAATTTTGTTTATCACCTGAAAATATTTCAATATTTTTTTGAAAACATAACTCTCGAATAGTTGCGTTTCGACCGAGGATGTTGTACTAGTTGGAGTGTAATTTATTTAGGAATTCTAACGTACAAATTCCCACTCGTTTGTACGTAATGAAA